ATTTATTGAACTTGAAGTAGTTCGTTTGACTGGACGTAAAAATTCTCTAATTAGTCTGGAAACGGGGGACCTAATTCTTGCATTTTGTGAAAACGGGTAAGATTGGCTATAATGTAATTATCTTAATCTTCACTATTGTTACTTTTTAAAAACCCAGCGAAGCGGGTCCTTGCAGCTAGATTCTAGATTACTTAGAAAAACAGTCTTTTATATATATAAAAAAAAAACTATATTACATACAAATGTACGAACAAATAAAAACCCAGCGAAGCGGGTCCTTGCAGCTATTGATATATTTTTCATCAATTATCTCAAAACAATTTCTGAAATTTAATTCCATTAGAATTTTTTATTTTTAAATAAATGGATATCTTTTATAATTTTGAAGCATATTAAGATTACATGAAATATTTTAAAAAATGACTAAAGACAAAACATAGAAAACAACAGATTTAGAAAGTTTTTCCAAAAATTTAGAAAGTAAACTATCTTTAAAATTAGTAAAAATGAACTAGTCACTGTGGCATACAAATTAATCAGCTGATTGATCAACTTTAAAATTAATAACTGTAAACATAATAAAAGTTACAGATCCAATATGCCAAATTTTCAAAATATTTTTTTCTTTACTTTGTTTTATGCTTTTGCCACTTTTAAAGAAGTAATAAAATAAAACTAGGAATGCAACTTTGTCATATCTCAATAGAATTGAGGCAGAACATTGCAATTTTGTAATTAATTTTAAATTAGTATTAATACATTAATATACACTAAATTATCTTTTGCTCCAACTTGACTGCTGACATGTGTTCAAATGTGTATGCAAGGGTATGCATGTGTGTATGGATGTGTGTTTTTGATCAGAAGAAAACAGTTGCTGGGCACAGATAGGCAATTATTTCACTTGCTGGGCATACACAGGCAATCCTTACATTTGTTGCCATCAGTTGATTTGTTCTTGCATTTTGGCACTCATTTTGCATGCCGATTTTTCAGATACAAGCAATGTTGTTTCTTTTTCTTTTTTGTCATATGAATTCCATTAGGTATGCTCATTCACATCAGAGAGCATAAACATTTTGACTCTACTATATTTCAAAAGTGAAGACTTCGACTCCCCCATTTTTTATCACATTTTTGATTCCTTGTTGCAATTAATGAAAATTGCAAATTCTAATCAAATTCTATTTACCAAATTTTGAGAATAATCAGAATTCTGTAAGCCACATTGAAGAAAGAGGCTTCACTAATGCTCTGCCTTAACAAAGACTTTCTTAAACACAGTTTTAAACAATTATCTGGCAAGCTTGGCACCAAAAATTGTTTGAATTTCTGGATTTTACAATTTTCTGGACATAGGCTAAATATATACTTAAAATAAACAATGGAAAGTAAAGTACAAAATTGTATCTTTACAGATACAAATTAAACACTTCTAAAATAGGGCCTGTTTGGTCATTATTAATCCTCTTAAAATATACAATACCATGTGTAGTGCAATATTTAGGAAAAAAAATTAAATGAAGAGAACTAAAGAACTGTATAAGTGGTTTCATGTGACATGTATACCATGGAAATCAAAACAAAGGAGCTATGCAGCAAACTAAAGCTGTACTGCAGTCTTGGCACAGTTGCAAACACTAGAAATGCTTTTCAAAAAATAAAAACTGAAATTTTCAAAAAAAGATTGTTTTAGCAGAATATATTTAATATGTATAATTTTTCATTAAATATATTCTGCTATAAAAATTTTCATGGCAAATATTTAAAATGTTATTAAAGTTCAGCAAATAGCTTTAAATATCAAATTTATTATATTGTTTGATATACTCTAAACACCCAGAAACAAAAGTAATTTAATCAAATTAATAGCAAATTACTATTAATTCAATATTTAAATCATTCAAACATTTTATATTTTCAGATAATTATTGAAAAATTATATTCAAACATAAATCACATTTAAAAAAAGTATCTATTTAGGATATAATTATACATATTGTGAGTTTCAATTAACCAATGTAAACTGGTTGAAACTTGGATAACATAGAATGTTTGGTATAAACTGGTTGAAAAAATACAAGAATATTGTTATAAAATCTAGAAATATAGAAAATACAGAAGATACGAAAACATCTTCACTTCCACCCTTTCCAACCACTAGAAACTAACAAATGGTCTTCCTTTGCAGAGACAACCTTTTATTGTAGGCTACAAACTCTGCTACAATATGCATAAACAGTTTAAAAATGTTCACTCCATAAAAACTTGTAAAATATACTTGTCAACCATATGATGATTATAAATAATTTTTTTTTCATTTTTAAAAGATTTGTATTGTTACAAGTAGTCACTAGACTAACTAAAAGCACTTCATGCCAAAATCACATAGAAAAAACAAATGTCATTCAGTGTTAAAAAGATTTTATTAAGTCAAAATACAGTTGCATTTTCTTTATTTTTCTAAATCACTAGATTAATTAAATTCTTGTAGAGCCACATTGAATATCACACATTACTTGGAAAAAACTTATGAAACAAACTGTATTGTACTGTGTTCTCTTGTCTTTATTGATGAAGTGCAGAGGGCTCTTCCACAAGTCATTTTGTATAATACAAAACTCAGTTAAAAGCTCTTAGTAATTGTGAATTATGCATATAATAAACATCTCAAAAAAAGAGGCAAATAATACTTAAATTAATCAACCAGATGTACACTGTGGCATTCAATAAGCATCAAGTACTGAACTTTTCATAAAATATTTCATGTCAGTGAGTAAATAAGTAAGTTTATTACATTAAATACATGCATACTTTAAACAGCTAGTTTTTATTCTAAACATTTTGTGATAGCAGAATATTGGATGATTAATTTATACTTCAATATATTAAACACACTAATAACTTATTAATTAAATGTTTTTACCTGCAAAATCTTCTTTGGTTTGTAAAATAACCCGTTCACTATCTAAAACTGTGATAGGGACACTAAAGGGAAGTTGCTTTTGTGTGCTTGCCTAAAATACATAAATTAATTATTAATGAAACTATCATATCATATATATACAAAAATATAAAATAAAAATGGGATTATTTAATTCAACTATTTGCATTTGAAACTGCATAATTTTTAATAATATAATTAGAAATTCAAACAAAATTTTATTTTATTTTTATATATTTTATATGTACAGTACATACATTATTTAAAAACATTATATTGTACTTCAATTTTCCAGTATGGGATCCCAGACCCATTTTTCCTGGGATACTTCAAAACCCCACGTAAGACATTTCATAATTTGTTAAAGCCACTCCTACTATAGTTGATCCCTATACCCTCAACTCTATCCCAATTTTATAAATTAATAAAGTAATAACTAATGAAAATACAGTATTACATTTACAAGTTATGAAATTGAATATTAAATGTCAATTTATTGTTTCTAGATATATTACAGTATCACACATCATATACTTTTTAGTCCAATGCCACTAATCATAGTAATGGTTCTACAGATATTATTATTGATTCTTTTATCATTTTCTCTTCTTTTGAGTTGTTGAGGAAAAACATTTTGTTTTAGCAATACAGCCCAATCCATTTTTTAAAATTAATTTAATTACTCCTGGTTAAAATCATTAAAAAACTGGGTTATAAGGATAAATATTTAAAAAAAATTTTTCAAAACAATAAGTTGTTTGTATTATTGGCTAACACAATTAAATCTGCTTGATCAAAAGATTGACATGCTGATATTCCTAAAGCTGATATTTTCACACAAGACAATTATTATGTTTTCAATAAATAAAGAATTCTTTATTTAACATAGCTATTAATGTAATTCTTACTGTTTTGATCAGTGATTAAACTCAATTTAAGCAAAATCAATGTGCAAATTTCATTATATCATCTTGTTCAAACTTTCCACAAAATTTAAATTTACTTTACTAAGATAAATTTAAATTCAAAGTGTCAGTCTTTGTACAGTTACTTTAAATAATATACTGTATATTTGATGTATGCTAAAATGCTTTTAAATTTCAATTTTTAATATTGAAAACAAAAATTTTTTTTAACAGCAAAAAAATATTTTATAAAACTAAATTTAAAAGTGTCTTTGTAATCAATCATTTTGGTTATTGAATTTCACTTGTTTCTCAATGAAAATAAATAGCTGATATCTTTAGTTATTTACATAATTGCAAAATAATATAATTTTATTATTTGCATCAGTATTATTATCATGTTTAAATTGCTAAAATTAGCTTTAAGATAAAGCAAGTTAATATTTCAATAAACCTTTTTGAATTCATTTTTAAGAAAAGATGACACAGAAATGGTGACAAGAAGACTATGTTACATAATTCATGAATTGGTTAAGTCTCTGATTCATTAAAAATTGTAAAGAAGCTAAAAAAAAACTTCTTGATAGATAAAAGTTTTTTGAAATGAACAGTACTTTATCATTATTAATAAATTATATTTTAAGAATTAAAAATGATTTATGCAGAAAATAAAATAAAAAGTAAAAGATGTAAGCATATTCCTTGACTCAGTTGGTTCATTGATATCAATAAAGAAGTATAAAATGTTAAAAGTTCTAGGAGTTTAAATTTTTTAACATTATAAAATGTTTTTAAAGATGAAATTTCTCATATGTTCAGATAACATTAATTATAATATATTTGAACAAAAGAACAGATTAATTATTCAATTAATCAAAATTCTAAAAATAATCAAAGACAAGTTAAAATTTTGTCACCTAGTTTTGATTATTTTTAGAATTTTGTAAAGATCCAACAATTTTAATGTTTGTTGAAACTGTTAATCTGCTGTTTTACTTAGACCATTATTTTCTTTCATTTGATTAATTAATTAACTTACATATCTGTTCTGTAGTGTTTGGCAAATTATCATGGAAAAATTTACAATTTCTCAACATGTTGAATTATTCAACCAATGTTTTGTGTACTTCATTTTATTTACAATCACCATAACTGTCTAACAGAACTCATGACACTTCATTTAATAAAAAAAATTTGAAGAAACTGGATTAATTTCTGAAGCAAGAAGTTCGGTGACAGAATTATTTTAAGAAATTGGCCACTAAAATCTTGCAACTGAACTCCACTGGATTACTTTTTATGGGGTCACATTAAATCCCTTATTTATTCCAAAAAGTCATAAACTGTTGACAACCTTAAAGTGAATATCATTTGTGTTATTCATGAGATACAGCCTGACTTATGTGCCAGAGTCATTGAAAATTGGGTAAATTGTATTCACACTATCAAATGCAATCATGGGGCCATTTAAATGATGTTTTTTATGTGTAATGTCACTAAATATATTATAAAATAAAACAATTAGCACATATTATCTTTTATAGTTTTTACTTTATTTCAATTCAAACTTCAATCACTCTTATTGAAAAACTGTGTAGTGTTTCCTTTTGAACAGTACTTATAAAAAAAATATTACTACTTGATAATGTTCATATTCTACATATGTATAGATCAGTGATGGTCAACTGATGGCCTCTCAAACCATTCACTAGGAAGTTTCATATGGCCTCAATTAACCATAAAACTCTGCCATTATAAGCAGCTAATATTCTATAGGTGCAATTAATCAATGACCACTCTTCACTTATGCTAAAAAAAAAGTCAAAATAATCTTAAGCCAGAAAGCAATAATTCCAATTTAGTCTGTTCTGTAGCACTGATCAAAAATGAAACCTTCTTCAGATTTTGAATTTTGCCATTAGATAAAACTACTTTTAAATTAATCTACTTGTCAATCCTGAGAAAGACAATATCACAAGACTTTCTGCTTTTAAAGTAGTTACCCTTCAGATCTGAATTTCCAAATTTTGATGGATAATAATAATATTCTCATGAAAAATAATATAAATTGGTAATACAGTCAAGTCCGCAAAAGTTGCCATAGGTATAACTAGACACCATCGGTTAAGTAGTCAGTTTTCTGCAGTTCCAACTGACTTACATAGGCATTAATGTTAAAAAACTCTGGTTTACTTGACACCATTTAACTCATCACCACTAGATAAAGTAGACATACTTTTTCTGTCATTTAGACGTCTGATAAGTCAACTCCCCTCCTGAAAAAAATGAGTTCACACCACACAGCTTACTGTGCGGTGTGAAATAATTTTTTCAGAAAGGAAATCAACTTATTAATATATACATACAATATTAATAAAAATACCATAAAATTTTATGTACTTTTGTATATAAAATAATAACAGATAAACAAAAAAAAAAAAAAAAAAATATGCAATCTATATCAACATCACAGCAGAATCAGATTTTGCATTTTCTCACTTTTCATTCATACATTATTTGTAGCATGTGTTTCATGTTTCTGTTAGAAATAAGTATCCAAAAGCTAACAATGCTTACACCGAAGGAAAAATACAAACTCGTATCTGAATTTGAATGTAATAAAACTTCGCAAGCCAAATTTGCAAAACAAAAAAAACCTTCCAAGCACAACATTGGTAAGAATTCTGAAGAAAGAAGAGGAAATTAATAAACTTTTTCTTGGGTCTTCGTTATGGCTGTCTCAATAACACCAGAGAAAGTTGTTGTACAAAGATGTGGAAGATGCTCTGGTATGTTGGCTAAAGCAAATTCGTTCATCAAATCTTCCTGTTTCGGGACCAATACTGAAACAAAAAGCAATGAAAACCACCAAGGTACTTGGAGTAGAAACCAACTTTAGTGCCAGTGATGGATGGTTAGAGATTGTATAAAGCAATGCTGCATGTATACTGTATAAAGCACTACTGTATTTTCCTAATTGTAGTTTTGTGGTTTTTTTTCAACCTCGTTTTAGTCGTCAAATCAGATAACTCGACACATTTCCACTTCCCCTTGGGGTGTCGACTTATGAGGATTCGACTATATTTTAAAATTATTTTGTCTTGTGCTTTTTAACAAATCATTAACTGCTGGTTTAATTTCATCCAAAACGAAATAGTAATTAATAATTTGTTAATTATAAATGTTTGAATTCAGTTGTCTATATTTGTATTTATTATAAAATAATTATTAAATTTTGAATGTAATGATTTCAAAATCATCATCTCTTATTCTCATTCTTAAAATAACCATTTAAAGCATATAAAATTTGAAGTTCTTGTCCCAATAACATATTTACTAATTTCTGATCCTCAACCATTTCAAAGTTGGCCATTACTGCTATAGACAATTCCCAAAAAAGCAAGAGAGAAAGAACTAAAAAAGCCAAACAATTGCCAAATTATATTGAGCTATTGTACATTTGCTACTGTCATTATTAATTAAATGCCCAATATATTTCAGCAATTCTTTGGCTTTAATATATAACAATTAGGTTTAGATGTTTATATAAGAATAAAAAGTTTATAGATAAAGATTAAGAATAAAAAAACAAGATTACATTTACAACTTTAAAATTTTCATATAAAATTGATTAAATTAAAAATAAAGCTTTATTCAGATGTTTACATTTTACTGATTTGTATAATCATAAAATCATATTAATGACATAAAACTGGAATTTACTTTATTTTTAACAGAAATGGACAGTATAAAATTAACTATATTTTCTTAATCATTTTTGATATTACTTTTTATGCTTTCAATGTTCCTGAAAGAATGTCAATTTTGAAAATTATCATACACATTTACAGCAACTTAGAAAAATCTTTTATTCTTATGTATTTTGCTTATTTAAATATTTTTGAACAAATCAATTCTATATGTTGAATTTCTAAAAGTTAAAATTATAATAATAAATTAAAAAAATTTTTTTATTAAAATAAATTAATTTTTGATCCANTTAAGTAGCATATTATAGAAATAAATATTTTAATGAAAAATTAGAGTTATTTTAATATATTTAGCTATACAGTAGAGCGTTGTTTATCCGAATCAATTGGGGACTGGGGTTGTTCAGATAACTTATTTTTCAGATAACCTATTATGTACGAAAAAATATATTAACCTATCCCATGTTGAAATTTTTCTCCGTTGCATTGAATCCGTTGCTGTCCATCATATTTTATCTTCATAGAGATAAATCTTACAATTTATTTTTTATGATCTAATTTTATTTAAATTAATTCAATTGCTTCAAAAACTAATTTAAACTATACTTGGAAAATCTTTCCTGGAATTAATTTTAATATGATTTTATATTCATTAAAAATTTTCTGTGTTTTCAATTTATATGTAGCATTATTCAATAAGTTCACAAACACAAATTAGTTACAAAACTTTTTATAAATTTAATAATAATAGGATATATACCTGAACTCTTTTTGGCTTGTGACAATCTAAATCAACTGTACCAAGTTCATCAAAATGTATCTGACTTTTACCCTTCATGACAGCTTCAAATATTTGATTAGTAATTTCCTCTAAATCTGATGAAAGCTGAGAGTTTCTAGAAAGAATAGCATTTGTTCGAACTTTGTCTTGACCAGCAAGACCCCATTCTGAAAATTATTAAACATTAGTTGAACATTATATACTTCATTNAAAAAAGCAAGAGAGAAAGAACTAAAAAAGCCAAACAATTGCCAAATTATATTGAGCTATTGTACATTTGCTACTGTCATTATTAATTAAATGCCCAATATATTTCAGCAATTCTTTGGCTTTAATATATAACAATTAGGTTTAGATGTTTATATAAGAATAAAAAGTTTATAGATAAAGATTAAGAATAAAAAAACAAGATTACATTTACAACTTTAAAATTTTCATATAAAATTGATTAAATTAAAAATAAAGCTTTATTCAGATGTTTACATTTTACTGATTTGTATAATCATAAAATCATATTAATGACATAAAACTGGAATTTACTTTATTTTTAACAGAAATGGACAGTATAAAATTAACTATATTTTCTTAATCATTTTTGATATTACTTTTTATGCTTTCAATGTTCCTGAAAGAATGTCAATTTTGAAAATTATCATACACATTTACAGCAACTTAGAAAAATCTTTTATTCTTATGTATTTTGCTTATTTAAATATTTTTGAACAAATCAATTCTATATGTTGAATTTCTAAAAGTTAAAATTATAATAATAAATTAAAAAAATTTTTTTATTAAAATAAATTAATTTTTGATCCACTTCTGTTGCACTTTTACATTCTTGACTTTTCATGTACATTATTCATAATTTTATCAAAAACTTTGAAGAGAGTACAAAAATTCCAATTTAAATGCCATTATCTAAGAGATTCAATAGTATTTTTACTTTAAATAATTCTTTGAATAATAAATAAGTCATTATTATTTTTAAGAATTTGATCTCCTTTACTATTTATTATAAATAGTAAAGAATTATAAGTAGTGTAAAATAAAATCAAAAAGTAATTTTGAATTGGGATCAAAACTTCAAAATTGTTTTATACAGAATAAGATAAAATTACTTTCTGATTTTTTTGGTTTATAATTCTTAGGAATAAGGGAGACAAAATTCTTAAAAATAACACTGAATCATTTATTATTCAAAGTAAAAATATTATTGAATTTCTTAAATAGTTTAAACAAAATTTTGTTTAGACTAGTTTATATTTATGAAAAATTAATAGATTAAAATTAAAAAAAAATTAATTATAAATTAAAATTCATTACATACAATATGCATTACAACTTGATCAATTTTATATCCATGTTTCTGAAGAATTGGCTTGATAACCTCACTACATAATTTATCTGGTTTTGCTCGAACACCAATGGTCTTTTTATTAGGCAATTCTANTTAACTTTTTCATTAAATCTTTTAACCTGAAAACATTTTACAATCTGATAATATTTAAAAGAGTAATGATGCATTAATGTTATTTAATTAGACTAATCCAAAGATGTTTTGATTATTTAGACTAATCCACAAAGATGTTTTGATTAAATGTAATACTATTCCAATTATGTAAATATTGCAAGATAATCTAAAATGTCCTCCTGTTGTTTGTGTTTATAAAATTTTATCAATACATTGTGTAAATACATCATAACATCATATTTCATATCATTTTTATTTGTCATATTAAAAACATTTTAAAAGAACAACAAAAATAAGATATAATACCAATTTTCAAAATTGAATTTAGTTTTTTTTTCTTAAATTTGTTTAATCAAACTCATTTATCCCTCTTTCTAATTAAAAAATTTCATATTCTCCATTTATTATTATATTTAAAGTAATTTATTGATATCAGTATAATGTATAAGCTTTGATTTTATTGATTAATTTAAATTCATGTCTTCCATGTGATACCAACAACAAAGTCCAGCTTAATATTATGCTTATTTTATATTAATCAACTTTCACAATTTTTCATTTAAATGAACACTGTAAATCAATAAATTAATTTAAAGAAAGTTATCTACTTAAATGGTGAAAATACATAAAGTATTGATAATCAAAATATAAGTTAGAAATTTATTTTATACAAGTTTCAGCAATAGAGATTAACATTACAAATAGAAATTTAGTGATAGGTTTCATCTTAAATTTAAAAATAAGATTATTCTGGAAAGAAATGTAAAACAATTTTTGGCATATATTTAAGCCAAAAAATGTCTTATTAATTATAACAGGTGACTGCTGACCTGTTCTGATCCTACTATATATGCCTCAAGGGCTGTGTAAGCAAGACCACGACGTTCCAGAATCCTTTGCAGCATTTCACCAATTGTTTCACCTGATTGAGTCTTCACAACAGCAGTAGAGGAATCAGACAAAATCACGCGACATAAAAAGTATCCATCTTTTCCACCTTGGCCAGGGAACAATGCCAATTCAGCAGAGTTCAAAGACTACCAAAATGAAATAGTTCCAATTCAAAAGAGAGATAGGTTTAAAAATTTATAAGAAAAATGTAAAGAGGATTATAATTTTCAGCATAGTTAGTTAGTTAGTTACTTTATTAATCCCTCCATTCATTAACTATGTATGATATATTTTTACATTACCTCTCTAGATGGTATGTGTTTTGATATTAATCCTAATTCGCTTCCTGTTAACGAAGAATGACTATCTGTCATATCAGAACGCGTAGAACTTGCATCTTCATTTTTGATAAGGTCTTTCTTTTTCTTTTTAGATGATTTTCTTAAGTCTGAATTTCGATCTCCAAATTTAGCAGTTACAATTTTTACATCCGCAGTTTTAGTTTTGCTCACTGAAATGAATTTAATATTTATTTTCAATTTGATAATTGAAATAAATTTGAAGCTTAATTTTCATATTAATTTCAAATACAGATATTAATATAAAAATATGACTGTTCTTTTAAAAATTCATTTTTATTTGTATTATTATTAAAAAACTTTTAGTAAGTTCATTAAAATATGTAACTTGAACCAGAATCAACATTAAACTAATTTACCAAATTAAGACATTAGAGAGTATATTTTATATTATGACATTAAGATGTAACAATGTCTTTGTTTTGTGTTTTAACTAATATAATCAATTTAAATTTTTTTGTACAATTATCTTTCATCCACTTTAGCCCAATCCCTCTGAAATTTTATAGATTAATAGAAATATAACAAATGTTCTTACATCTATGCCAAGGTATTAACGATTTCCTTTTTTTATCTTCTCCTTCTTCCTTCTTTTCTTTTCCTTTTTGTTTAACTCTTACTTTATCCTTAGTGTCTTCTTCTGGTCCTTCATCCGGTTGATAAGGTAATGGTTGTCCTTGCATTTCTTTCATCATACAGTCTTTAAACATTTGAGATTTCAAAAATCTTTGATAGCAGTCAAATTTCATTAGATTGAATATCTGTTGTAAAAATATATTTATTTCACTTTCTATGTCATTCCTAAGAATTCATAAAATTCTATATAAAATTTGCATAATTACTAATTAGAAAATATATTTAAATAATAAAGCATTTGAAATTAACTAATTATCTAATTAATTTTTATATTATTAATAAAAATTATGTATCTTATAAAGTATGTTTCAAATCTATATATATAAAAATGAATGTATGTCTGTGTGTCTGTCCTTCATGCATTACCACACCATTTATCCGATTGCCATGAAACTTTGGGAAGTTTTTTTAATACACTCCCACAAAGGTTTCTGGCATAGTATATTTATCCTATGATAGATGGCGTGAGTGTATACAAGCATTTCACTGTGTGTTTGATTGATTTCAAATTGTGAAGACCATTTCCCCCCTCCAAAAAATATCTCTATATATGCATTTGTGAACTGTTATTTACGATATTTGTAATAATTTTTGTTTAATCATTTTATTTCAACTTTTTTTTTGCAAATTACGTATTCGCTCAAACTTTCTTAAAATCTTAACTGTATCCTGAACAACAACTGAAGTTGTAGGAGGAAATTCGCCTATTTTACCGATCTAGGGATCCCCTTTTCCAAATTTTAATATCAACTCAAAATAATTTAAAAAGACAAATTACAATAAAACGGTTTATTATCCAACTATCAGAAATTTCACAGCATGCCAAGGAAGAGAGGAAGGAGCAATTATATAATTAAAATTGTAAAGGATTAAAAAAAATATATAAAAATGGGGAATATCACACTTCTGACAATTGCTGCAAGTGTGTGGGCTAGATTTGGAAAATCCATGCTTCTCATGGACAACTGTATATGGCCAGCTCATGCATCGGAAAACCTTCTGATTTATTCGTGTACACACCAGACGAAAAAACAAAAAATATCGTGTATCCACAAGCACTCCAATAAATAAATAGAATTGAAACGACACTTTGAAATGTTTCCTTGATGAAAATGAATAATAATAATAATAAGTTTCAATAAAAATGATAAAATGTAAATTGAATTTTATTATAACAAGTGTGCTTGAATTTAATTTCTTCTGAGATTGCAGCAATGCATGATGAGTAAGCTAGTTATGAATATTTTCTACTTTACACCAATATATGAGAAAAAAAAAATCAAATATACATAATAATAAAAACATACTTAATTATTTTAACAATTTTTTATTAATTTAAATAACTTCAAAATTAAATTTAAATATTATTATTAATAATGATATTCATAAATTCTATAAAACACGTTCATGTCCAAGTTTATCAAATTATAAGAATCAATAATTCAATACAATGAATACACATTTTTATCTCAACACCGGAGAATACAAAAAAAACTCTTGCTAGCCTGTTACCAGTGCGTCCTCCTTCTTCTAAAACTCGTAACCAACCAAAATAGCTCTTTACTAACGTTTTTGAATCCCAACGATGGTTCTTCAGGTATTTCGAATCTCTGATGGAAATGCAGCTCATAAAACTTCAAATTCAAAAATATGTACGTTCAAATACACACTTCCCGTTTACGTCATTGTTTGTCATGCGTAGTCGATTCCAATACAGCTATCATAAATTACTGTTCATAAGCGCTTGCCAGGCTACTGATAGCGTAATCTCTTCTTTATGATTGATGCATTGATTATCCCTAAGGTTAGCTAAATATATGCTGGCCGCCTCCAGCCACTTGATATGTTGTATGTGCCGTGTGGTGCCGATAATACTGGCTTTCTTAAATTCGGATTCTATATTTGGATCCAATGCATAAATTGCCAGAGCCTTCATATTCCTTTGTTTCTGATTATCTAAGGATCGTTTGGTGGAGCCCATGTACATAAGGTTTCTATTGCATCTGCGATCTATAATCGGTATGCTATAAACCCCTGACAGCTTATCCTTATCTGGTTGATCTTTTCTGTTGGTTAGGATGTTGAATAATGAAGCGCATCTTCTGTGGGCAATATGAATGCAGTTCTTTTTAGCTATCTCGCCATATAGCCCTCTAATATTGATTGAACAGATTTTGAGAATGAACACAATTCTGTAAGCCTCATAGCAGAGGCTTTGCTAATGCTCCACATCAACTAGATTAAATAACGTATCTAGGCCAATTGTTTGTATGATGATTTCATGAAAAATAAAATAATAATAATTGTTATAATATTATTTACTTATAACTAGCATTCAAGTTTGTATAATGTTCATATATAACATCATGAATGTAACCAGAAGTTTCTGAGTGTGTGTCACCCACATTGCTGATGACCTGCTTATATTTATGTATGATAACATAGGTAGGTTAGGCTACCATAAAAATGCATTAGCTCAAGATCACTAACAATATATTATTGTGTAAAGAGCTGCCATATCAGTACAGCAGCTCCTTACATGTCATACACAAACCAGTTATACACATGACAATGCTCAATAGAAAAAAAACTGAAAAAAAGAATATTAAGTTATATTCTTGTTAACCTCATGGCAGTTCATGTAGCCTAGTGTTTGAGTCTGATGTGCCAGTTTTCTGTTTCATTCAGTGATCAACTGTTTGTGACAATTTTTTTTATATTTACTTTTAAATTTGTGTAGGGCAGCAGTGGGAGCTGGCACATGGTGAGTGGTGGTAATATTAGTGTGGGATAAGCCAACCTTTGCCTTCCTGAAAGGTTACATCCCTGAATATTAATGCTTTGATTTTAAATATTCAATTGTTAGTTACATTTAGTATTTGTTCTACTTCTTTTTAAATGGTAAATCTGATGTTAATACAATTGAAAATGTTCATTTCACATTACTGGGAAATGTTCATTCACATTACAGTATGGGGCCAGGTATTGCTTTGGTACGTGAACATTGTATTAACATCAGTAATTCTAAAAAAAAAAACATCAAATATATAACAAAGTTTCACATTAAAAAATAACACACACAAATGAGAGAACAATGAACTTGAAACTTTTTTACATCCCTGGACACTGTGGAATTTATGGTAATGAAGTTGCAGACACACATGCCAAAGTAGCCACAAAGAATCTCACTATCAAGTTTACATCACAGCCATATTCCCAAAAAAGCCTCAAAAAATATTTATATCACAATATAAGCAATGGACCTGAATATCAACCATTTCAAGTTGAGTCTATATTTCCACCAATGTTGTTTTCATTTATTTTTGATGCAATTCTCTCACCTATGAAAAAATTAGTTCTCTCTTTCCCAGTTTCTGACAGGACATGAAAACATCAAACCTCTTACCCTTTTTTACTGATTTTATTAACTCAGCAATGAAATTGAAATACTGCTTGTAACAATTAATATAGCATTTTGAAATTTCTGCAGTTTTTCTGTACTTTTTCTTTTCTTATATACTTGTATCCTTAAACAAGCTTGTAATTGTTTTTAGTATTAAAACTCCATGGAATGATATATTTTTATGATACCATACCATACCATTATATCTGCATGTATATCATATTGTTACAAATTAATTCTAAACCATAACTCAACATTAACTAATCAGTGACATTTACATAAGTAATTTTCTTGTATTCAAATATTAAATTAACTTAAAATATTTTAAATGTTTATAATTCCTGATAATGAATAAATTATTTCGTAGCAGCTAATAATTCTCTGAATAATATAATTTTTTTTTTTTATAAAACTTTCATTTTAAATATATCACTTGTAAAACCAACACCAGAATATAACAAGAAAAAAGAAGGAATCACATAATCAGTTCAAACTTTTAAAAAATATTCTATTTTTGGTTAGCTGTTTGTTCGATATTGTATATACCTGAGGATGTCTATTTCACATAGACAAAAACATTCATAAATTTTTCATTTTTCTTGTTATATGCTGGTGTTGATTTTATCAGTGATATATTTATACAAAACCCAGTTACTGAGATACTTTCATTTTAAATAATGCCTATATGAACATTTGAAATTATCTATAATTGTAAGTATTAAAAATAAATTATTTCCTCTAATTACTTTATAGTAGCCTATACAATCTATTATTATTTAACAGAAAATATGTAGTACATTGTAGTCCAAAAATTTCTGGCCTAACTATGTTTCAGATGTTATAGATATAAAATAATGATGTCATTTTGTAATATAGACTCCTTGCAGTTCAACACATTATTAAATCTTAGAATTAGCATTTTAATACCCTTAAAAAATAGTCTAAAGTTTTGTGTACAAAATGCTCATAAACTGCCTCCTGCAACTCTTCATCACTTTTTTGTAAAATAATGATAGTATTAAATAGGACCATCTTTATGGACTAAAAAAAAACTATTTTATTAGTCCATATAAAGATGATGCTATCTAATACTATCATTATTTTATTCCTATCATGTCTAAAATATAGTTATGAAGGAAACTTTTGGCATCTACCTTGTAAGTAATGAAACCAGCGTGTATAAATTAACATTATTAACTTTTTCATTAAATCTTTTAACCTGAAAACATTTTACAATCTGATAATATTTAAAAGAGTAATGATGCATTAATGTTATTTAATTAGACTAATCCAAAGATGTTTTGATTATTTAGACTAATCCACAAAGATGTTTTGATTAAATGTAATACTATTCCAATTATGTAAATATTGCAAGATAATCTAAAATGTCCTCCTGTTGTTTGTGTTTATAAAATTTTATCAATACATTGTGTAAATACATCATAACATCATATTTCATATCATTTTTATTTGTCATATTAAAAACATTTTAAAAGAACAACAAAAATAAGATATAATACCAATTTTCAAAATTGAATTTAGTTTTTTTTTCTTAAATTTGTTTAATCAAACTCATTTATCCCTCTTTCTAATTAAAAAATTTCATATTCTCCATTTATTATTATAACATGGAAAAATTTAGACTCAAAAATATAATTCACTGTTTCTGTTTTATAGTTAAATAATAAGGATCACAGAATAATAACCATTTTTATATTCCATTAATCTTTTTGCTTTCATAATAATGAATAAGCATGGATTTAAGTAGATTCTATCTTTGTATTTGATTGATTTTTATAATTTATGTTATTTAGAAGATTTGAAATTAACTTATCTATTAAAACAAAACGATAGAATCTACTTAAATTATTATTGACGAGTGTCAAGAACAAAGAACCTGAAAGTGTCAACAGAAAAAACTTTGGGGACCTCTTTAATTAAATTAAATTTAATAATTTAATTAAACTATTACATTTCTAATCATGGATTGATAAACAGCTAAGATTCAAATCTCATTACAGAATATACTTAAATAAATATATAATATATAAATAGCATGAACATAGATTTACTTGTGTTTGAGCTGGAATGAAAAGATCACGTGTTGGATTTTCCAAGCCTTCTTGGGCTACCTGACGAGCATGACTATCTACATTTACTGGTTCTGATGCACCAATACATAAATGATTCTTAAAAATTTCATTAGCCATTTGTTTCATCTATAATATTAAAGAATTATAATGTATAATTACAACTTGTTTTAATTAAAACAAGATTACAAGCTGTATAATCTAACCTCATTTTGATCAGTAAGTTGATTATATTGTTCACAAGACATCCAAAACATAATATTTTCTTGACTAAATTCCAGTTTTAGAAATTCCTGAAATTTATAATAAATACTTTAATATTAATATATAACTTTTATAAAATATATAAATAATTATTTTTTTAATTATACATTTGAAATTTATTCAAATGTATAATTTAAAATTAAATCATTCTTCAATGTTTTATTAAAATTACATTAGTTATTAATTCAGTTGTTAGAATAATCCAGATCTCCATATAAATATGTTGTCTTTTTAATGACAATCTAACATTGCAATAATTTAAGTAAATTCATAAAAATCTAGGAAAAAATTATATAGATTTAAATTTATATTTTTCACTCCATTTGTGAATGGACTGTTACAATTATACTATTTAAATACTTCCTAGATAAAGCAATTAAAAATTCAATTACTTAAGAAAATAATATTCTAAGAAATCCAAAAAATTTTATGTAATATGTCAAGTTCTCAATTATAGTATTTTATAAAAAGCGTAGTTGAGTTATTAAATATATATAAAGAAAAATTAAATATATTAAATCATCACAAGAAACTTAATGTTTTTGTTACATTCTATTATTTAAGTAAACAATTATATTTTAAAAACTTCAAAGTGTCTTTCCATTTTATCATTGCAGTTTAACCCTTTATTTTTGAATATCTAGTTTATCAAAATCAAATTATTAGTAATGTATATATTTGTGTATGCATGTCTGTATACATATTTACACTATTAATTTTACTTCATATGATCAGAATAAACTATGTTTGATACACACACCCAATTTTTAAAACTATTATATTTTATTTTTAAAACTTAATGTTGATTAAAATAGATGTTTAACTTTGTACTTATCAAGTAAGAAATATAAAAAGTATCAAGCTATATTATTTTATCTATAGTAATTCATTTTTAGTAAAAAGTTTTTGGACAGTTAATTTATGTATTCACTAAGAGAATGCTATGTACAGAGTGTCTCCTAAAACAGCCCTAGTTTTAAACTGTTCTATAAAATCCATTTGTTCACATATGTGAATAAAATGTGTTGGTAAATGTTGGATCAATGTTCCAAGTTTTGTGTACTGTACATATGCTTAAAAGGACCTCTGCTACCACATGGTGACAATATGGACCTCCACTGCCACACAATCTACATTACTATGTCTCATTTCTTGGTCTGCCCAGTCACCTCTTTAAACTTTTTCTTTGTGGTCATGTCAAGAATTGTCTATATGCTACAAAAGTGCCAGACATGAGAAACTAGCATATAAGAATCATAGATGCCATTAACAGCATGACTCCTAACATGCTGGCTTGGTCATGGGCTAAAATCAAGTTCAGAGCAAGTACATTAACAGCCTATATGGAAATGATTTAATGTAATAACTAACTTTTTCAGATGCATTTTCTATTACCATTGTCTACTGTATTACAATCACATTTCTTTTCCTAAAATTAATCCACAAAACTAGGGGTGTACTACCAACATATGACTACAAAATTAGTACAAGTTAGATCACATAAAGTTAATAATATGTACCAAAATATCTAAATTGTATTTATCTGCAGTAGAATTTTGTACAATTTTCTGATCTGACTAAATTATTTTTTAGAATTCTGTGGACCCATGCATGAAACCTGTAACCCATATTTTGTCAAATTTCACACTCTTGCCATTTATAAACTAGTTTTCACATCATCTTCCTTCTACAAAATCACTGATTGTGTATATAGTGTCCAAGTTGACCAACAGATATCACGCACATTCAGAGGTTTACAGTACAGCACTTCTGTGCATGATTCCTGTAAGCCAGAATCTCAGTAGGAAAGGCAAACAGCAAATGCAATCATTTGCAAAAAGCTGAAAATAAGTTAAATTTTGGTGATTTATTAAATAACTTGGAATCAGGAATCAAGAGGACTTCACTTGAACCTATTTTGTGGAAAACAAGATAAGAAGTCTAACAGGATTCCTACAAATAAATAATATATTGTGAGAGCATTCATCAACAACATTAGATCATGGTATTGCTACTTATTGAACTGTAAGGTATATCTTAATTAATAGTCCACTGATACTAACAAGTAGTTATTATTCATAGTATGCCTAATGATTTATCTGTGAATGGCACATTAATGCTCTCTTAATTTTTGGCAGTTAAATGAGCAAAAATACCTTTTATAATCATGAGCAGTTTAAAACCCCAGCATTTTGCCATCGATACTATATTTTTGTATAAGCTCCACTTAACCTAGGCCTAGGTTAAGTTACATTGTGAAAATATTTTGTACCCTTTTATATTTAGGTCCAGAGTGATATCTGTCCAATTTGTATCAGTTAGAAGATATAGATTCCAATGAACATGAAGCTGAGATAGCAATTAAAGCACCATTTGAACCAATATTTAATGTGCACATAGAAACAAGTAGATCTGTTCCATAATGTTCATGTCATTAACAGCATTATTTAATGTATATCTGTAATAATCACAGTATATTGTTATCTTGACAGACGGTAGTAGGCCTATCCTGAATAAAACTGAAGGACTACATTATGCAGATGATGGATAAGACAAGGAAGATAGAACTAGGCCTATGTTAGAGAAACATTAATAAATGTTGAAGATAATGTTTAGGTCTACTGTTGTGACACCAGTTCCTATTTTGTCATGTAGATCCTGAAGAATCTAAACCACAACAAAGAGGAGGAAAGAGAAGGCAAAATCTTTCTAAATTGGCAAGAAACATAAAAGCCTTTAAGTAACTTACTGGCAAAAGTACATTGGGCACAGAAATAAAATATATCCTTCTGAAGCTGAAGGATATATTTTAAGATCAGAAAATGCTTTTTTGACTTGCCATCTGTAATTACAGAAAGACAGTTTCTTGGGACAAGCAAGTTGTTCCAAAAAAGTTAATGAGCACTAAGAATCTAAATGCCAAAAAGTGTCTTTTTGGCATTAAATATGTGTTGTCTAATGGATGTCACTAGAGTTTGCAAACAGGGATTAGCCATGTAAACAATGCAGAAACTGGTTAATAATGTTGAAGGAAAAAAAACACTCCAACAAAAACAAATCTATTTAATTAACCTGATGATGATAAATGTTTTGATAACTTCAGCTATCATTTTTTCTGGAGTTTTTGGTTTTTTCATTTTTTTTTTTGTTCAACAGGGATTAGCCAGCATTCTGGGAACTAAACCCTTCAGGAATGTGTGTGTTGCATCAATAATGCATAAAATAAATTCCCTAGAAGACAAATGTGGAAAACATAATAAGAGGCCTAACAGGATTCCTGCAAATAAATAATATATTGTGAGAGCATTCATCAACAAAATTTTTTCCAGAATTAAATCAATAGAATGTATACAGCTGTTTATGTTAAAGATTGCACAATAGCAGTGGAAGAATCAGTGTCCTTTTGAAGTTTAACCACAGAGTTTAACTTACATTTCAGTCACCCTAGCTTATATGCATGTAAGATGGGTAATGAATGTAAGGTAAAGAATTAATATAGGTCAGGAAGTTAATATAGTAGAAGAAAAAAACAGCTAGAGAATGACCATGACTTCCACTTAAAGAAGGCTGAGACTAATCAAGACACAATGAAAGATGACTTTCATAACTCTTATGAAGGAAATGACACCTTGGCAATTATCTTTGATCTCCAACATGCGTTACCTACTCTCACATAAACACTAGCTTAATGTTCTACATTAGGCAGCTGTGGATAATCTCTATGTTTTACATAATAAAAACCAATAATACATGCAGATGTGGTCAGAAGACCAAGCCAGCAGAGGTTCTGAGGAAATCATATGCTGTCTAAACATCTTGTATGAATACCAAAATCAAAGATACTGGTGATGGGAATTTCTGGCAGTTAGTTGCATGGTCTGATTCTTGTGGAGGCTAAAACAAGAATGTAATTCCATTTTGGTGTTACTTTGTTTGACTCCATGGAACATAAGTTTCCTTCACCAGGTCACACATTTCTTGATTGTGATAAAGATTTCAGAGTCATTGAGCGAAAGAAAAAAGAATGCCTACTGTGTATGTTCCAGAATATTGGTACAAACTTCTGAAATCAGTCAAGAAAAAAGTTCCATCAGAATAGTCAGAATATTACAGCAGATACACTTTGTGTTTGTATAGAAAATGTAAAGTGTACTGAGCTTCAAAAGAAAAGATATTCATAGGGAACCTGACCAACTGCAGAAAGCTGCAAGAATAAAAGTTTTCAAAGCAAAAACCAAGGACAATGCTCATTAGGTACACTCATAATACATTACTATACTCTATGCAGACAAAGTGCTGTGTGTTACCTGTTGAAGTAATGGCATAATATTTCATGCTATATCATTGTCACAGTAATTCAGTGAATATAATATATATATATATATATTTTTGTAATAATTATATTTAGTTAATTATTTTGTTAATTTTTTTCCAATGGGTGGCACTACATGTAAAACCAGCAATTAAATGTAGACAGAAATTAATCAATGATTTGGGTGGGATGTACAGTACAGTACATCATCATCTAAGTTAGAAGTTTGTAAATGTAACTGCCAAGTTTCATAGCAATTAATCAAATGGCCTAGGAGTGTATAGCAAACAAACAAACAAATATCCTCAATTATATATATATATATAGATAAAATGAAAAATATTTACATCTTCTCTAATCAATAGTAGTATATATTTTATATGTTCATTAGACAAGTTATTTTCTTGAGCTCCAACTGAGTAAAAATGAACAGAGTTAAATGTAATAAAGGGTGAGTTAAAAGTCTCTTTCACCCTTTTCATTCCAAAAGTACTGAAGATATTTTGTTAATGTAATAACATAGTCATGTATGGAAAATTGGATAGACTCTTGACCTTGAAAATCATTTTCAAAGTCATTTATGTTGTAAATTTTTGATGAGGAGAGGTAGTGTGAAAGTTCCAATGACAAAGTTAAAGAGCCCAATTTAATTAGTTTAAAATCATTTTCTAGATTCAAATATATTTAGGTTTGCATAATTTGCAATTTTAAATTTATGAGGGAAAAAAGTATTTGTTTTATGTGACAAATTCATTTACTCAGCATCAACAAACAAAAATGAACAGACTGATAGCATATGGAAAAGCAATCTAATGACTTCAGCTACAAATGTTTGTAATCGTAGGAACTACCTATGGACAATGTTACCAGATTTCTGATGCACATTGCTAACTACTTACAGAGGGTGGTGATATTACTCAGGGAAAGTATATGGAAAGTACAATATAATAATATTCTACTTTCCCCTATAGTTCCTAAGAACAATAAACATCTCCAACTGAGATCCATCACATTCAATATTGAACTGAGCCTCAGCATCAGCCTTTCCCACAGTTCAAAACTGTCTCTAATTTGAGGACTCTAATTGGTCTCAATAAGGGACCAATCAAGATGTGATGGGGTTCTGAAACCAATCAGAATGTTCAATCGAGGAACAAATTCTATAGAAAAAAACCATGTCTCAAAAACACAGGAACCTTTTCTGATCAGTTCTAACCAACATATTCCCAATCAGAATCCTGCAAGGACTAATCCAGCCAACCTGCTGGATTAGTTGCATTCTTGGAAACTACTAATTCTTTGCCTTCATTAACTTAGTGTGTGCCTCCTCTTCAATGGATTCTACTGTCTACACAACTCTGACCAGACTATCCATCCCTTCAAGGAACTGACTGACATGAGTATGTCAAGCTGATTGAGTCAGGAACATTAATTAGTTTCCAAGTTTTTTATTTTAAAAAGTGCAGAAACTCTCTCTGTAATAAATGGCAATCTATCAAAAATGAGTCATCTTTCCTCCTGAACACACTCACTCACATACATCACCTTCATTCACTGCTTGTGCTGTGCAGGAAAAACCTTATTTCAGACTCAAAAATCAAATTACTAATCATTTTGTTTTGATATCAGCTGCAATAGGACCTCACAGTCAATTGACCTCACAGAATATTTCAGACAAAAACAGCAAAATTGCATTAAATATCAAAAATATAAGTAATACTAATTAAATCTGTTTAATCAAAGATGGTGAAGACCTGATAGACTGTAATTATCAAATCATCCAATAGGAGACTAAAAATCTGTTTTGTTCATCCAATTATTATTTAAAAAACATAACACAAAACTTTACTTCAGTACTGTGTTTATTAACTTAAAAAATTATTTAATAACTTTTGCCATTTATACTGTGAAAAGTGTGTTATGAGATGGACAAAATCTCATAACACACTTTTATTTCTAAATTTAAATAATTTAACACCTTCCTATTAACAAACACACCCTTAACACCTTACTAATAATAATTATTATTTTCATGTATACTCCTTATTAAATTAATTTCAAAATTAATTAAAATGTTTTTTGCATTATTTAAAATTTTACTGTTAATTTTTAGTTTAATTTAAATATAAATGCTATTTATGAAGCTAATATAAAAAGTAGTACTATTTGTGATTCAAAATAATTTAATCATACAAATATACCTCAATTGTGTCTAATTGAAAGATTCTGGCCACACATTTAAAACAAAAGCACAAATTTTCAAGCACACATTTATCATTAATTAAAATTCAGAATAATAGCAAAACAAAATATTTTTTGACAAACCCAGAGATCTAATTTCAATGGCTGAAAGTCATGGACTATTAGCAGCCATTAACTAATATTTCAATGTAATTTTGGTTAAAATATTTAGTGAAAAATCAATAAAGCATATTTCTATGCCAACAAATTTTTAAGTTCATAGTTATGAGTTTATCAATATTACTAATGTATTTCTATTATTTAATGGTTTTTTTTTTCATATAGCTTTTAAGATAACTAATATTTATTTAAAATATAAAATTATCAGTAACTTTCTTTATTCTAAACACTTCTCAGATAGTTTTACTCACTGTGAAAGTATAAAGTCCTATTGGATCTTCCAAAAGTTTATCAAAGCCAGCTGCCCAACTTCCAACTCTTCCAACATCAACTGGTCTTTCATTATTGCAACTACTTCTTCGAATTGATGCAGTATCACTGGCTCGATCAAGGCCAAGCATACTACTTGAAGTTGATAACTTTCCATTTGCTAATTCTCCATCAGATACAGTACCAGCCTGAAAGGGTGTTCAATTTCAATTGACAATGTCAAGAAACAATAAATAATAAATTAAATCACATCAAAAATGGATTAAAAAATTTGGCAATGAGTTGCTTAACATTCCCAGCAAAAAATACTAAAGTTTAAGAAATACTAAGACATATTAGTAGGAAGCTAAAATTGTGTGTGGTACCATCTGTTAATGAGATGTTATTGAAAAATAACTTTTATATTATTAATAATTATTATAAAAGGCAAAAAATTTAATTTTAAGGGCAGAGATGAGTTTCTAAAAATATAGTAAATGCCAATGATAAATAAAAGTTTTAGTCTGATCCCACTCAAGATATGGCACATGGTCTCTATTTTCCCACTCCCTCAATCTTTAACCACAAACATTTAATAGCATCAATGTCCTTTATATGCAAATTATCATATCAAATGTTATTTCTTAATCTTTCTCCCATCCTAAGATATTAAACAAAATAGATGTAAACATACACACCACAGGTATGTTTTTTGAATTTATGGGATCAGGGGATCTCAAAATGTTGAGATTCCAGAAACCTGGAGAATCAAATGTGACACAATTACATTATTATGTTATAACAGTTAGGAGAGTAAAAATTTGAGACAATTACAATACAGTTGTATCTTGTTCTTTGAACGACTCTAACTTTGCACATTCCAAAGTTTGAACTGTACATGAAGTGAAAAAATGCACTCAGTACATAAATGCCATCTGTTGTGCCTCCAAGTTCTCTCTCACTCGTGTTACACTCATGTGTTTTCAGTGTTTTTCACATTATTTTTGGTATGTTTCATTGCATATACTAAGTGTTATTCATTGATTTTTAACAATCTCTTCTTGCAATTTTTCTTTGTCAACAGCTTTTGAGTGCCCATACATTTTGTATCCAGTTTAGTTCAAAATTTCCTAAATGGAACTTTTTAAACCACATTTGACATGTTCAAAGTTTAGGACCATCTTCTCCATACACATTACAATTTTTTTACTGTTTGTATGGTGTTGCATCCTTTCCAAAAGTCATAAGGCGTGATATGCCTGATATGCTTTTTATCTGAAGATATTTCAACTTGATTTTATTCAAACAAAATGTAAAGTTTAAAATAAGCTTCTAAACAAAAAATATCATTAGTAATAACGTGTTAAATTTCACAACTGTTATAATTAAGTAAAACATCTGTGTCAATTAACAACAACTGCTAAAAATACACATAATTTTATGTTCAACTCAATATAGCCTTTACTTATTAACCATAGCATGGAGAAGAGTATGGAGGCAATGAAGCTTAAGAGGAATGCTGTAATATTGGTGATTGAGATGAAGAGCTTTATTCTGAATAAAGCTATTTTTCTGATGATGTGTACAGTACATGTATGGCAGATCTGGAAATAATGTTTAAGATGCCAAAGTTGATATAACAGTAAATGTAATTTTCATTTTAATATACTTTATTCACATATTTTATTCATTGTTTTTGTGTTATAATTTATTATTTATGACATTTAATTGTGTTATTATTACCTTAAATTAAGTGTATTTGCTGTTTAAGTTTATCAAAATGGGTATTGTTTAGGGTTTGGAAACTGATTACTTCACTTTTCATTATTTTGAATGGGAGAAAAAACTTCAAATGATTCCAAGTTCAATTTCCAGCCTCTTGAAATGATTTAAATTTGAAACAGTGGTACCACTGTGCTTTCCCATGTTATGTTTTAAAAGACAGGAAAGTGCCATCAGAATTATTGATATAAACTGTTTACTTAGATCAATGCCTTTTAATAATAATATTTAACTAAGACAATATTTTCTGAAAAAATAAACTTAATTATTATTAATATAGATTAGATTATTTTAAATTTCATAAAACCTCAAAATTTATCTTCAATAATTACCAAACACAAATTCTGAAGTTATTAAAAATATCTTACTTTTCAATCTTAAACTGATGATGATACATCATTCATTATATTTATTAAAAAATTTTGAACTGTTAAATAAATTTATAATTTTATTAAAAATTAAATTCAACTATAATAGTACCTCATGTGGACTTTGATGCAGACTTCTTTTTCTGCCAAGATGTCTACGAAGGGACGATGTTCTTGCCCATTTTTTAGCAGTTTCCAGTCCTCGTTCCACCTTTTAAATTAAAATAAGAAATTAACATAAATGAATTCTTAGTTATTTTACTAAATATTCAGTTTTCTTATATTAATTTATATGTTAGAAAAAGTTTAATCATCACCATTACAATGTTTATATTTTAATTATTGTAGAGATGATTATAAATTCCTGCCACATGCTGTTTATCATTTAAACAGGAGAGGGGAGGAATTTATTTTTGCTTTACATCCCATACTTAATTTGCAAATATCATTAATCGTCCTGTCTGTAGAATATTTGATATGGAGGAGATTTGGTTTAGTCGGAATTTCTACTCAATTTACTTGCCTAACATATAACAACTAAAAAATAAATAATAAATAATATATCTTGGTAAATAATTCAAAGTTTCTTGACACTTGTTGCATAGTTAATAGATAAAATAACAGGTTATACTTATAACAAAAAAAAAATTTGTGCATAAAATTAAATTTTAAAATTATTTTTCATATTTTTCAAAAACAAATGAAATCAAATTTCATTACAATAAGCTTCTTTGTTTACATAATTAAAACAACATATTCAAAATTTTCATTTTATAAAATTTATTATATTATATTAATTTATTGCTTGAATAATTTATCTTGAAATTAAGTTTGTTTTTATTAAAAAAAATAATAAATTTAAAGTCTTAAATCAGAAAAATAATCTATTTAAAGAGGGAAAAAAATTAAATCTAACGTTTCTTTTTAACTAAGTTAATCCTACAAATATGTAGTTTAGAATGAAAAATGTCATAAAACTTGTCACAATCTTCAAGATAGTGAAGTAATATAATTAAATTTCATATTTATCAATGAAATATTTTCTTAAATAGTTTTTTAATTAAATGATGATAATTATCATCTATAAAATATCTCTCAGATACAGAATTTAAATGCGTATACAGATACAGAATCTTCATTAGATTCTGTATCTGTATTTAAATTCTGAGAGCCAAAACTGTTCCAATTTTCAATAAAAATAATGTTTTTGGCTAACTAAATTTTTGGTTTTCTGAATTAAGCAATTATAACTTCTGTGTATTTTAATATGCCAATAATAATATAAGTTTATATATTTTTTTAATTTATTGATTTTATTTACATTTAATAATATTAATGATAATACATACTGCATTATTATTACATTGCAGAGTCTGTCTTTTGAAAAATAAATATGATATAATTTGAATTTGTATTTGTTCTAATATTAGAAATGCTTATACTGTATTAAAATGCTAACTAACCACAAAATCAGAATTTTATCTGTGTTGAATAATTTACTAAGTATGATTTGCATATGTATGAGTTAATACAATATATGGTAAACTGGATACAATATTCTCCTAAATAAGTCTAGTTAAATTCTTTGTTAAAATAAGTTTAATTTTTCTTTAAATATATAATAGGTAATACATAGAAAGAGGCACTTAAATAAAAACATTTGAATAATTTAAATGGGATTATGGTAAATATCATTATAGCAGATATTTTCATTATCTGTCATATAAAATTCATATAAATGAATGAAAATATAGTCATACTTTGTTTAGTTTTTGGACAATTCCAAAATATCTAACTGACTTTTCATAAGCTTTAATTGATAAAAGAAAAACTCAAAATACAAATTTGAAGAAAAGCATTGAATATTTCAAAACTGATAATTATATAATTGAGTGAAAGTAAATGACTATTTCTTAGGTATCCATACAATTCAGTACAATCAAAGTGAATGATTTTAAGTAAATTAAACTTCACTCTGACACCGGGGATGAAATACTAAATATGGAACCTGTTACCAGTGTAATTTTGCGTGAAAAAATCTTCCTTTCACAAACGTTTTCGAGCTGTTGAGATAGCTCTTCCTCAGGTAGAGAAAAAATTCCAATGAAACACTTCAAAAATTAATTAATTAACACTTCTAATGAATGATTTTATTCATTAGCATAATAAAGAACAATGGCTTTGTTTTTCATTATCATGTTTGATATTTCCAAAACACATAATAATTATCACTTACATATCTACTTGAATTGAAAACTAGTAATACATGTAGCAAGTAAAGTTTTACACAAGCAATTCCAATAAACTAAATATCAATGTTTAAATATATATTAATTTACCTTTTTTTTTAAAAATAAATTATGATAATAGCAATTGTAAGAAGAAATTGACAAAACTGACTGAAAACAACTCTTAAAAGGGAGTATATTAATTTAATATCTGATGCAAGTCTATAATTATCTAAGTGAGCTATTGTTACCTATTACTTTTTAAAAGTCAAGTTTTAGATGAATTTCAATTATTTGGATCAAAGCGCCATAAATTTTTAAATATTTAACCTGAATAAACTTATATTTGATACTTGCAAAACTTTATTATAATTATACCACTGCTGATGTAAAAACAAATACTTTATTCATGTACAGTACTTCAAGAATCAACATTAAATATGAATACAAATTCAGGGACAGAACATTATTTACTTTACAATAAAATATAAAAAAAAATTAAAATAGTAACTAATTAATAAACCAAACTTTACAAAATTAATCTAACAATAAAAAGTGCTGCAATATTCAGCAATTCCAGTTGAATAGCTAAGAAACTAAATCCATTACAATATATAATTATTATTTAAGTAATTACTCATATTACAAAAATTGTAGAAGATACTTTTCAACGGCATTTTATACATAAATTTATTTACTTATTTGTTTCAATATTCAAATATATTGCTTTTTTTTGTTAATATATTCTCACAAAAAAATTATTTGAAATATCTGGCAAAGTCTTATGTTAAAACCCATCCTTTACAGAATAAATTTTTATATATAATTTTCTTTAAAAATTTCTAAAATGCAATAAATTATTTGTATAAAAATTTATTTTACAGATAGAATAAATTTACAATATTAAAATGTAATTTAAAATCTTTTAGAATAATAAATTTTCAATTTATTTTTGGTCAGCTCTGAAATTTTACATAGTTGTTCTTGATACAAATATTTTGTACTGAAATATATACAGTATATTATATTTTATAATGGTAATGTTTACTGCAATGGACCATATATTCATATTTTAAGTTTAACATTAAGCTCCAATAATCCTGAAAATGTTTATAAAAAAATTTTGACTTGCAACAGGATTGTATTTGTAACCCTCAAATATGATTTTAAGATAAATTTTTTCAGGATAAATTTTAATCAATCATTAAATTTATCACAAGATGGCAATATTGCTTACTTTTAATGCTAAATTTGTCCATAATGTCTAATAGCTTTTAAAAATAAACAATTAAAATTCCATTATTTATATATGAGCCATTGATTTTGAAAGTGGGGTAAGTCCATTTTGTGAAAAAAATAGTTAAAGCTGATTATTATTACAAATTAACATAAAATTTATGTTTTTAATCAATTCACAATAAATATCTTTTAATATCAATATAAATTTGTTACTAGTAATTTATACCATCAACAATATTTATTGTGTGTTGATTTTGAAAGTGAAGCAAGTCCACTCTAAAGAAAAATATATAAAAAGATATGATGGATTTATTCCCCATTCATCATGAATACTTTAAAAATCTACACCATCTAAGAAATATAATTATACACATGCAACTTATTACTGAATATTTTTTCTTATTTTATCCATTTTTTCCCTATAAAAATAAATTTATTTTTTGTTTTCTTGTAGCTTTTCGAAAGTATGAAATGTTGAAATAAAATAAATATGTAAATTAAATAAAATATTTAATTTTTTGTTATTATAATTACATTTCATTCAAAGAAAATCAACATTTTAAACAAATCATTGCTTTTGAAAGTGAGGCAAGTCCATTGGTGCAAAATTATGATTTTTTTTTTCACCTAACAAGGATAACCATTATTGCATATTAAATTTATATGAAATAAGACCAAAAAAAATATAAAATAAGTCTATTACTGCTTATGAATATTTTTAAACTTATTCAAATTCTTTATTCAAATTTTTAAACTTATTCAAAAACCATTAAATATCTAGCAATAGCATAAAATGGACTAGCCCACTTTCAAAATCAACAGCTTATATATTGAATTAAATTTTTAATCAACTTGATTCAGTTTTATTCAATATTATATATATAAATATTGACTTATACTGCATTCCTATTCAGCATAATTCTAACAAAAACATAATAGCAGCAAATAGTTTTCTATTTGCTGCTATTATTATATCAAACTAGATTTAAAACATTGTTTAGAATATAATTAATTGTACTTATTTTTGATTTTTGAAAATTTAAAATTTTTTTATTTTTTGGCAATATTTTAAAATATTTAAAATATACATTATAAATTAAGTAATTACACAGGCATTATTCATAATGCCCAATTGTTATGATAATAACAAACAAACTCAGGCAATGTAATAAATTTCAGGTTATTTTTTTAACATAATTTATCAGACTGACTGGTCAGGCAAAATAATGATAATGCCTTGATGAATGATCATCCACATACACTAAGCCAATCAGCACTCATGTCTGAGCTGTGCTTGTGTATTGCATTTAGAATCAAATTTTAAATTCAAGCGAGCAATAGTTAATCTGGTGCAAAATTTAATTTTACTTTTGCCTCTTAAAATAGTGTTTCCTTCAGTTTGAAAAAAGTAACAATTATGGAGTAATCAATCATTAAGTGATATGAATAACCGCTTCAATAATCAATTAAATGAGTTAATAGCAGCAAAAGGTCAATACAATCAAATTTTTACAAAATGAGTGTATTTGACAATGATACAAAAAGTGAGATCAAAAATCAAAGTAACTTCAAAGTTACCAGAAGAATATAAGCATTTATGTAGCTATGATGTTGTATCTATTAGAGAAATAGAAAAATTAATTGTGCCTGTAAAAGAAGATAATTTGATTAAATATTATGTTCCCACTGAAGAAATATTTCAGATATTGCACAATGACCATATTGCTATTGACCACGGCAGCAG